ACCTCTGTTAACCCATTCAATTCAAGCTTTGCTGGTTCATGAGGCCAAGAGCACAAAGAGATCACTCTTTGGCTCATCTTACAACAGGCTTTATGTCCTTGTGTCACCATGACAACCATGCCATCCCTTCAATTAAGAGCAGACATCCCACAAACAAGATGTATGGATACAATAAGGAAATAATAACCCATGCTGGCTGGCTCTGGCACAGACAACTCATGATCAGCCACCCTGTACAGAAAACTACCGATACACCCGGTGGGTGGACACACCAGATCTGGGGGGGGGGGTCTGGGACGGTGGTGAGTTAAAAGCGGGAGAGCAGGGGTGGACAGGCTTTTCATTTCAGTGATAAGGTAGGAATTAGGTCAAACTCGAGAGTGTTTGCGCAGTGGGTGAGACGGGAGCGGGAGTGTTCACACGCGGTCAGGAGAACATGAGTGGGAAGGAGGAGGCATTTACTAAATGACCACTCAATGAGGGGGTAAACATATAGCACAGTGATCATATTTGGGTTCAGAGTGAATTCTAATTCTAGGCTTGTGATTCATTCAGTCTTTAAAGTATATTTGTTTACTTTTCCGTCATAATAGTACCTCCTGTCTGCTCTATAGGTCACATTGTGACCTCTTTTCTGCCTGTCAATCCTCTATTGTATGTCTCTTAATGTGTCATGATTGACATTTCCTTGTGAGCCAAATGTACTTGCGATTTTGATCACTAGCAAAAAGGATGAAAGTCACAGAGCTTTGCAGTCCTAGTGCAAAGGGACAGGCAGAGTGAACAGGGACAATCCAAGAATGAAATCATTTATACAAGACAGAAAGTGTATAATAAAGACCAAAAGACTGAGAGGAGGGAATGAGCCAGCTGACACTCAGTGGTATGAGGAAGGCTATGTAAGTTATCCTCTGTCTAGGATGAATCACAGCTCTCAGCAAAGTGGAGCAATCAGATATGGCAGGCAGCGAGAGAACTGCCCATTTGTGTAAAAAGACAATCTCTGCTCAAGAGACCAAAACACGGAAAGATATCTCTTGACACGACAAGTTGCTACTCTGAAGACATTTACAAACAGAAAAGGGGACAGTGCAGACAGACATTGGAGGAAAATATTATTTATTATTTCAAAAATAATTTCATAATTGGGCTATCTGTGTGCACAGGCCAAATATCCAGTGCTTTTGAAAATTGTTTTTCAAGGCAAGGAAAGACATATCTTACAAACTGTTTATATGTTGGTCTTGATGCCAGAGAGAAAGAAAGGATGAGTGCTGATTCCATCTGACAAGGATGGTTGTTCTAGCCAGCCCTACTTTAGACTGTTCTTTTAGAGTCAAGTCTATATCCGCAACTGTTACCCAATGCATGCTACGACAAACATTAAAGGTCACTTAAAAAACAAGGCAACACAGGTGTGGCGAAGAAAAGCTTTGACTGCATCATAATTCAATTTAAGGAGTGGTTCAATTGTTTTCTGGAGTCAACTGTAAACACTTTACGCAGTTTTGCCTTTCGTCTTCAAATGGCCACGAGCCTGTGAACATCATGACGGAGAAGCCACCACCTGGGTTGAGCGTCAGGTTCGCTGATTCACCTTAAAGCACCAGAGAGCTTCACCTCCGTCTATCCTCACAGCCATGACCTCTCAGCTGGGCCCTTGGGTGCCACAGAGCGCTCATCTTCTTTTGAGTGTCTCCTCCAGAAAAAAAACATCATTTGAATATCAACAGAGGCCGGGTGGCGAGTGAGAAAGCTGCCTTGCATCCAGCCGTACAGGAAGTGTTCCAGTGTGACTGCAGCTGGTCAATTACCACCGCTGTTGCCATGATCGCAGTTATCATTGCTCTTATGAAAAAGGCATCAAAGGGAGGCGGCTGGGAATGCGCTGAATAATGGGACACTAGTGTGGAGAGGGGAGAGGGAGCTAATAAGCCGGGCTGGCCTGTTGACTGCAGAATCCTTGAAAATACACCAAAGCTGCAACGGTGCTGACCTGGTGGCTCATCTGCAAGTTAAAATAGCCTCATCATATTCATGTGCAAACAGGCAGGCTCCAACAGCAGGTGCCAAGGCACATTTCCCCCCCCCC